CCTCTGGAGGCACCTAGCAGCAGACCACAGCAAGGTGAACTACAGTTAGGAGCAGTGCCCAGAAAATACACATGTAAGGAAAATAATCATTATGATAAAATAAAATAAAATAATAATTAACATCATATTCGATTGTATACAATATATCTGGTGTCTCCAATGGTGGTGTTTTCATTTACTCAGGCTGTATGCAGTTCCACTGTTGCATGCTGTTGCCATATGGCAACAATTATGTTTTATAATAGAAAAAGGTACAGACTGCAACAGAATGACATGCAAAAAGCAGATCATTTTACATATAAAGCCTTCAGCTTCCCGAATGGAAGGAAAAAAAGGCAAATTTATGTTGGAGAATTTAAAGAAAATTATTGTTACCAAGTAGAAAATGCCTATTTCCCATTCAGCTCTAAGGCCCACACTTAACACACCCCGCATAACTTATACATCAATTTTATAGAAGTTCCCGAAAAAATATATCATAGTTACTGAATAATAAGTCTGAACATGAATAACTGAATAATAACCAATTATAACTAATGACTTATTATCCTATATTTAATGCTCTGAAAGGCCTTTCATGAGGTTAATGACTAAATGAATGAATAAAGAGTATTAAGTACTTTTTAAATGGGATTAGTTTTACATGGGGAGGTGGGGTAATGGCATTTCACCACAGGACATCTGTAGCGTTTATGACAGATTTGTATGGAATAGGAAATCTCGGTATAAATTACAGAAAAGCTCCTCGATTTTCACCCTGCTGTTGCACCAAAAAAGTTTTGAATGCAACACAAACTGAAACACATACAGACAACATATGCTTAGGATATCTTTTCTCATATAACACTTGGGTTATAAAACATGGTAATGAGCCAACATTAACTCTCTATATTTGTTGATCACAAATCAGCTGATTTGTGCTAATGGAGCTGGAGGACGGTAGCTCTGAAGGGATTGGTAGTCACATGACCAATAAGAGGTCCTAAGCTGATAACTTGCTTGCTGTCACAGCCTGGTCTCTACTCTACTATACCTGGTTCATGGGAATGCCGAGCTCAGCCTCTAGTCTCCTCTGTGCAGCCCGTCTGACTCCGATAGCGCCCTGCTCCTCCAGTTCCTCTGGCGTGTAGAGGGGGTGACTGCAGCAGGTATTGGTGAAACATCCTAAAAATGAGAAAATAAAAACATCGGCAACAAGCCTGACTGCAGAGCTTCCTGAAGTGGCAGACCAAGAATGAGTTCTCTAATAGTCCTAACACTGCAACACTTTTGGAAAACCGGGAGCTGTTTAGCCGGTGGAGGTCCTGAAATTATGATCAATGTGTACCAAACCACTGTGGTAGAGAATTTCTCACAGATATGTTAGAAGGTGAGAGCTGTAAAGGAGACACACCTGGAAAAGTGATCTTGGCATCAGATCTCTGTTGCAAGAGCAACTTTTCTTCACTGTTGAACAGGAAAACACTGAAGGCTCGATGCAGTAGCCCTGACATGGGAGACAATGGACAAACCAATGAACACAGACTTGTGAAAAAACAGGAAAATTACATATTTCTGTAGTTTTCATTATATGTATGAGCCTATACAGTTTTATTATTAACATATTACTAGCTATTTATATTCTTATTACCAGCTTTACTTTTAATATATGTAGACATTAGTAGCATGCACATACAGAGTTTTACTACAAAACGTTTCAGTAGGTATGACGGCATTACTATATAACTATGCAACAGTAAGATACAACATGCCAGCAGTGCATCATATGATTACAGTAAAATAGCTCAGAGATTTTCAAAGTACAGGCCTCAGTTTCTGAATACTACACATTTTGGACGCTTTCCTTCCCTAGCAGTTAATTGTGATCAAGTGGAATAGAAGTAGAACAGAAGTGGGTAATAACCAGTAACATCTACTGAGTTACAAGTATTTAAGCAAAACTGTGATGGATTTGTACTTTTCTGAACATTTTCTAAACGCTTTTACTTCTACTCATGTATATTTGTGGGTAAGTTAGTCCAATCTTTCCTCAGTTTCATGTTAGTTCTTCTATTAAGTTTATAATTTACTTTAATTCCCTCCTGTTCTGATGGCACTTGGACTGCTTTGTTGTTGCTCTCACTTTCAAGCTCATTTTAGATGCTGGACGGACCAAAAACTTCCACTGCACTTCTGTATGGCAGTGGTTCTCAAAGCAGTCCTCAGAGCTCTGTAACTGGTCCATATTTTTGCTCTATCCAAGCCTTTAAGAACACTAAATATTTGGTTGGGAACTGAGTCCAAACAAAGACATGCACTGGCTGCAACAGGGAACTCCACTCTGGAGGAGTTTTAGGTTCTGATTGAGTTCTCAAATTGTTTTTGCTCTATTACTTTTAATTGAGTCAGAATTTCATGGTAGGAATATTTTCACCCAAGGATTGTTTGAAGCTACTTAACCCACATCTTCCAATCAGTTATCAGTTATCACATGAATTGTTTAGTTAACTGACAATGGCCCACATTTATCAAACTTCTTACAGTAATAATACTGATCTAGGATCAGCTTATGCTTTTTATCTAACAATGAATAAAATTCCATGACCCTATAAGACCTGATCTCAGATCAGTGCTCTTACTCTGATATGTTTGATAAATGGGGGCAATGAAAAGGCCACAAAACTTGATCTGATCTGGTCTGAACTGATGAAAATGTGTATACCTACACCTTGGCTGGACCTCTAACTGTATCCACCCATGCTTTTTTGATTACATGTAAACGTCATACTACAGTTTCACAATCATATTTGGATTTTCTATTGATTTGATTCAGACTTTTCTCAGAGATCATGGACCAAAGGTGATACATTCCTATGTCCACATTGTTCATGATCAATGTCGATATCAATATAATACAATATAGACATTAATGGGTTCAGTAGTCCAGATTTGAGCAGGTCTCACTTTGAAGCGCACCCTGACAGCCATGAAATAAGCTTCTATAGTGGACAAAGAAACCGTGGCATTTCAGTACTGGTTTCAGTGTCACTCTAGTTTTACGGTAAGGCTGTTACCTTTGTCGATGTTGGAGTTGAGGTGACAGTTCTTCTTGGTGTCAGCTCCAGTCCTCTTGTCATCCTCATCTATCAGAATGCACATCTCAGAGAGAAGCTGGACCTGCTTTTGGTCCAGTTTATCTGTCTCAATCTCTGGCATCCTGGCTGACACACTGAGGCTTCTACAAAACAAAATAAGGCTTAGAAATCCACAAAGTAGCCTAAACCTACACAAATATCAATACCACCAACACCATCAGCAACAATAACAACAACATCATCATCATAAACAACATCAACACCACACTGACGTCCAGATCAGAGCACTCACTGTGTCTACACTAACGTTACATTACAGTACAATAACAACCAGATGCACTATAATTATAAACACTAGTCCCACTTCCCCCTCTTGACCGGCTTGTTATTGGTCATCTAAGCTCCGAATAAGCCCCCCCAGTGAACTTACCTTGTCAGAAATGCTGTAAGAAGAGGAAGGCTGCGTTTAAGCGGCCTCAAAGAGGGAGCGGTGGGTTTTATCAGCCTGTGTGCCTCGCAGGCCGCCGTCCTGAGCACCGCCCGCACAAACATTGGACCAATCAGGTGCGGATCTCCGCCGAACACACCATCAGACCACCGGGCCGTTTAACCCGCCACAGAGCCGCCGAACACGGCCGAGAACGCACGGGAATATCCGTAATATCGCTGTTCACCGACGCTCAGCTGCACCGTCTGAAGTCGAGCTCTAATCCTCCGTTAAAGCCCAGTAAAACCCGACTAAAGCGGAGAAACCCGCGCCCAGTCACACACACGGAGACTGGCGCGTCTCCGCCCACTGCTGACGTAGCTCACTACACTGTGACCGGATTGGTGGAAATCAGGAGTGCGTGTGTGGTCATATGAGGCTATTAGAAAAGATAGAGAGAGAGAGAGATGAAAATGCAAATACATACATAATATATATATATATATATATATAATATATATATATATATATATATATATATATATATATATATATAATATATTTTTGTATTCTTTTGTAATCCCTGATTTGTATTGTAATTTAAATTATATTGATATATTATTTCTTACTTGTAC